CAGCCAAAAGATGCGCGTCAGTAAACACATCGAGCGAGGGCTCGGGTAGGCGCCAAGGCACAGAACCCCGAAAAACCCGAAGAGAAAGCCGGAGACGCAGCAACTGACGCAAGGCCCCGAGGTCCAAACCCAGCGGCCGCGAGAGAGGCAGAGGGGACATCCTCGAAGGAACCAGAACAGCCGACGAAGCCAAACCCGACCCTGGAAAGTAGACCAGCATCTCGAAGTTCAGGCTCCTGCACAGACCCTTGAGCAACTGCCGGGTGATCCGGGAGCCCCCCCAGAAACAGGCGCATGCGGGACTGCAGCCGCAGGAGAGACTCCGGAGGAAGAGACAGGAAGAGGTCCAAGAGTCCCACACATGGCCCAGCCATGTCCGAACCTGGAAGGAAACCAGATGGGACTTCCTCCAGTTCACCAAGAACCCGAACCCGGCGAGCTGAGAAAGAACCAAATCCCTGGCCAGCAGACAAGAGGACCGGCTGGGAGCCTAAACCAGCCAGTCGTCGAGGTAGGTCAACACCCGAACACCTAACAGACGCAGACGGGCCACCATGACCCATGTGAGGCACGTAAACATGCGAGGTACCAGGTTCAACCCGAACGGGAGACAACGAAAGCGGTAACCTTGACGCCCCACAATAAAACTGAGCCAGTCCCTGAACCCCGGATAAATCAGGAAGGGCCAATAAGCATCCCGGAGGTCCAAGGATACCATTCAAGTGCCCGGCTCGAACAGGAGCCGAACCTGGGACAGCGTAGTCATCTGAAAGGAGGGGCAATGAACCCAGGGTTTCAGACGAGACAAGTCCAGAATGAACCGCAGGTCCGCGCAGTCCCGTTTCGGGACCGGAAACAGACGGGAAACCCATCTGAGGGACGTCATCGTTTCGACCACACCCAAGCAAACCCACTCCAAGATGACCTGACAGAGTGCAGGGGAAGAGGCCTGCCACGCTAGCCCCGAACCCCCTGAAGGGGGCTATCCAATGCCACTGGAGGCAGCACGAAATGACCTGAAATGCTATGAATCGTGGGATCAGGTGTGAGCGAACAGCGCAAGCCTCCCCCCCCCCATCACCCCGTCAATGGGCTGAACCGCGAAAGGGCCGGCGCCCCTTACGAGACCCAGAACCTCGCACAGAGCGAACACCGCACCGACCAGACGAAGGCGGGTCTGAAGGAGAAGCCGAACCCGAACCCGACACGAGTGGCCTACCACGACGAGAGGAACCCCGAGCCTTGGCACGACCCTACCAGGAAGGCCCACCACGGGACCCCCAGAGAACCAGCAAGTCCGACATAGGATGGCAAGAAGCCGAAGCAGCCTGAATATACTGAGCAACGGCTGAAGCTTCAAACAGGAGAGGACAAAAGAGCGAAGACATCCTAAGAGCCAAGGCCCAAGTGGATTCCACAGAAGAGGCAAGCACCGCCTGCAGACACGTGAGCCGGAAAGCATAAAACAGCACACCCGCATCCCGCAAGATATGCACGAAAAGCTTCAGCAAGGCAGCCGACAAGCGAGCCGCTGAGGCCAAGGCGCCAGAGCCAAAGCATCCCCACATCCTCCGAGAACCAGTCAGAAGACAGCTCGAGGAGAGAAAAGAAACTCAAAGCAGAAGCCAAAAGGCCCCGAGCGCGCAAGCCCGCAATCACCAGTGCCGCCGAAAAGGAGGGAACCTATACATGGAGCTGAACGACACCAACATCCCAGGGAAGAGCAGGAGCAAACAAGCACTCAATGAGGTGCTCTAGGTCACCCCCCAGGAAAACCTGCAGCCCCATCGAAGCCTCCTGCCACTCAAGCATGCAGGAATGGCAGAAGGAGTGCCAGGCCTCCAAGGTACAGACAGGACTGTCCACCAGCCAAGACGACTCCAGAACCTCGTAACGGAGCCAGAAAGGGAACGAAGTCCCAAACCTGAAAGCCGAGGGATCCATTGCCGAGGCATAATCCGGGTCACACAGGAGGTTTACCACAAGGGTCGCCCACACCACTGCAGGTTGGATGCGATAAGCTGAAAACTTCCGGAAAGATGGAATCGAAGCACCCGGGGGAACACGGAACCGAACCAGGGGAGGGGCAGACACCAAGTCCAACTCGTACGCATTGGGGGGAAAAGAAAACCCCACTCCTTGTAACAGTGAGCCCCGCTCAGAGGGCAGAAAAACCCATGCGGGGTCCAGCGGGGCCCAAGGCCCCCAAGTCAGCCCCTCCCAAGCCCCAAGGTCCCCAAGGTTCTCCTCCGCAGGACCAAGGGCCAAGTTCTCCCCCCCAAGCACCAACCCCACCAGACAAGGCCGACGCAGCCGTAGAAGCCGGACAGAAGGGAGCCCACTAGTCAGACCGAGAGGCTTTGGCCGGGGGAGTAGACTCGAATGCCTACATCGCCACACTGGAAGGGGCATCCCTCGAGGCTGCTAGAGTCTCAAGACCAACTAACCCCTGCCCCAACTCCGAAACCCTCAGACGTTTCGGCGCCGGAAGCAGGGAAGGGGGACCAGAACGAACAACAGGAGGGAAAGGACGAGGAGGTGCAGTCTGAACCAGGGTCGAGGAGACCCCCCACCTCCAAATCCGGGCCCCCTATAAGCAAAACAGGGCAGCTGCGGGGCAACAAGGTGAGCAACCAACAGAGCACATTGCAACAAACGAAACTTAGAATGCAATGCCTGTGCAGCCTGTACCGGAAGATGATCATCCACAGATTGGGTAAATTGAGTCACCAGCAAGCAGCAAAACTCACAGGCAAAAACTGTGAGGGTCGCCCTGAGACAAGGGGACCGAACAACCCTCAAACTCGCATGAAGCAAGGGGGGACCCGGGGTCACATCCATCGGACCCACACGTCCCTAGGGGATTCCCAGGGTCCTGTGAGTGTATTATAATAGGACTCGCGCTCAGGTAAACCCAGGCAGGGTACTGCTAACCGGCGCTCAAAACTACCAAACAAACTGTCTACAGCTGAACCCCAGGGACGTGTACACTCACGAGGACCTAGCAGGGGGCACCACCAAGTATCAAGATGAGGCCAAACACCAGTAGCAAGTAGGGCAGAACCCCCTACCAAGGCAAAACCAAAAAAACAAAACAAAAAAAACACAAGGGGACAACATACCCCAAGGAACAGAGCCGGCCGCTGTAATAGGTGACAACAAGCTGCACAGCATCCTGTGCCCCTTACCAGTGCAAAACTGCCTCCTACCCTAAGGTAAACTAGGGAGACAAAATACCCAAGTACCCAAAGAGCGGCCGAAAAACCGAGCAGTTAAAACAGACTCACAGAGCAGGTCCCAAGGAACCTGTGGAAGGTAACCCCAAGCTCCTAGGGCAGTACTTACAAGGCACCTAGGGAAGGGAACCCCAAGCTCCTAGGGCAGTACTTACAAGGCACCTAGGGAAGGGAACCCTAGGCGCATGCAGCCCGAGTACTGAAGAGTAACTCCTGGCTATCGCACCCCTGGAGAACAGCCGCCACACACAAGGCACAGCGCCGAAAAAGTCTGGAGCCAGAGCACACAACCGCTGCCTATAGCATCAGCCTCAAGAACTGGGGTGTGGATTGTCAGCACAGTATGTCAGGGACTTCCCCTTCCCCCTCCCAGAGAAGGGGAAGCTGTGCAGACGGCGGCGCGGCAACGGGTGACGTCACACTAGTTTGCTCGTTTTTGTTTGGGGAGTTCTATCCACTTGTTTGGCTTTTGGTAGCAATATTTTCAGCAGAATAGGGGTTAGTTTTGGAATGTTTACCTTTCTGGGTGCCTGACCCGGTCGATGGCAGACATAGAATGCTTCCAACCACATGGGGGCTTCTATAGGCCATTGCTCCTCTTGCCTCTCTAAGGGGGGGCCAGGTTCTGGCTCGTGGTCCCCAGTAGGCCTAGAACTCCACCTACATAGACTGGTGCCAAAGCTAGGGATATCCATATCGGCCTGGATAGCCCCGGGGAGCTGTAGGAGCATTCCCTAAAAACCATGAGCATCGCCCCGAGACAAGGGGACAGAGCAACCCTCAGACTCGCACAAGGTGAGAGGGGACCCAGAGGTCGCATCCATCGGACCTCGTGTGCCTCCGCGGGGTTTCCCAGGGCACTTGGACTTTTTCGCTAAAGTTAGGCCCAGGCAGGGTATTGCTAACTGGCGCCCAATACTACCAAACAAACTACTAAAGCTGAACCCCATCGGGACGTGTCTACTTACGGGGGCGAAGCAGGGGGTACCACCAAAATCAGAAGGTCAAACCCTAATATAACTGGGGGTAGGGACACACAGGCAGGACCCCCCACCAAGCAAAAAAAAAAAAAAAAGGAAAAAGAAAACCCCCGCAAGAGGACAATGTATGCAGGAGGAACAGAGCCGGCCACTGTTATAGGTGAAAACTAGCTACGCAGTACCCCGCGCTCCTACCAGTGCAATAACTACCACTTACCCCAAGGTAAACTAGGGAGGAAACCCCCCCAACACACTCAGGGTGGTCAATCATCGAGCAGCAAAAGACCAACAGAGGTAGACCCCAAGATGACTTGTGGAATATAACCCCAAGCCCTAGTTGATGGCAGATATAAAATGTTCCAAATCCCACGTGTATTTCTATAGGCCATTGCTCCTCGTGCCTCTCTGAGGGGGCCAGGTTCTGGCTCGTGGTCCCTGGTAGGCCTAGAACCCTATTTACAATGAGTGATGCCAAAGTCTAATGATATACATAACAGCCTGGATAGCTCCAGGGAGCCGAAATGGCTCCCCCAAGAAAGGGACAGTGGCAGTAAGAAACAATGTGCACACCATAGCAGTTTGGATGAAGGAATGAGAGGTGTAGCACCTCCCACACTTCTGACTGATTTGGAGGAAGATATTGACCAGGACATTGAACAAAAGTTTATATCAGATGAAAATACATGATTCTCTGGATTTAGTGAATCTTAGATAAACATTGGTGACAGTGATATTCTTGTTAGTGGTGAGGGTGCAAACAAAAAGGAGAGAATTAGTAATTTACCTGCACATCTACATATGAATCCTTCCTCATATATTTGATTTGAAAACCTGGATCATGATCCACCCACGATCTCGATCCATAAATCAACGTCATGGGCATTCCTTTCCTAAGAGAGTCCATGCGCTGGATCATGGGATACTTGGCCCAACCAAACCCAGCCATTAGGGTATGAAAGGCAGATTCCCCACTGAAAATGCAAAGCCAATAATAATAATAATAATAATAATAATAATAATAATAATAATAATAATAATAATAATAAATAATAATAAACCAGTGTTGAATGTAATGAAATGCCATTTTCTGGGTGAGCCCCGGAGGCTCCATGGAGCTTATCGGGCTAATGTATGTTATGTTAGACTGAGACATAAGCTAAGGAGTTCAGACCTACCAGGGACCAGCGCCAGAACCTGGCCCCTTCAGAGAGGTTTAAGGGAGCAATGGCCCTAGAAAACCCCATTGTGGTTGGGGTTTTTCCTTATCTGCCAACGACCGGGGTTAGGCACCCAGAAAGGTAGGCATAACAAAACAAACCCCACATGGTAAGAAACTAAAAAAAAAAAAAAACAGAGGTAGAAACTCCCTACAATCCCAAGGAAAGAAGCAAACAAGCAATTATCATAATTTACTGCTACGCCGGTCGTCCGCGCAGCTCTCCCTGTCCCGAGAGGGGGAGGGGGCGCCCCGACCTCACAGCGCCGGCTGCCTTCAGTTCGGAAACTAGGCTTCAACTAATGCGAAAAAAAACCCGCCGACCGGATGGGAGAGAGGATAGCCAGGGAGCCTCCGGGACTCACCCAGAAAATGGCGTTTCATTACATTCAACGCTGGTTTTCTGTGGGGAGCCCCTACGACTCCCTGGAGCTACATACCCAAAGAGAAGGAAAATAGGGACTTACCTAGGAGGCGGCGACCACAAACTCCTCAACGCGAAATCGAGACAACTGGCTGCCACCTGCGACTCAAAGCAACACAAGAACACCAAGGAGCAGGTACATTCACCAAATAACGGGCAGCCAGGACCCTGTTCGACTTCCAAAATCCACGAATATGAGCCCAAGACATATTACCGAATACTGCAGCCATAGCTGCAAACTAACGAAAGACATGGGCGCAAGCATAGACCGCAGGCTGGCTAGACTTAATAACCCTGTGGACAACCTGGGAGACCCGAGCACTGGAACAGGGAACGAGGGAAACCGGATTAACCCAAAGCGCATCCCCAGCCACCCCAGCTGAAGCGCGCAGGTAACGGCGAAGAGCCACAACTGGATACAACACATGATGTACCCCCGGCCGAACCAACCAAGCATCAATGACCCACGGACCCATCCAGAAAGCAGCTGTCTCGTTCTATGCCAGAAAAGATGGAGTAGAATGCAAATGGACAAACCTACCCCCAGGACCAAAAGAGCAGAAACCCCTGCACCGGAGGAGAACATGAAGCTCCCCTACCCAACCCCCAGAGGCCAATGCCAACAAAAACAATCTGGAGCCGAAGGGGCCACCACAAACCGAGGAGAGGAAAGATAGGAGAGCACCCTGTCCAAGGACCAGGACGGCTCAGGCAGCACATGAACAGGCCGGAGGTGAAACATAGCACGAGAAAGCTTATGGAACGAGGTGGATGTGATGACCACCCCGAATGCTAGCTTGAGTGGCTCCGCCAGCACCGCACGATACGAGGCGACAGTATTAGGCATCAAATGACGGTTCTGAAAAAGCCAAGAAAGTCCAAGACAACCTATGAAGAGCAAGAAAATGGCAAAAAGAATGCCAGGAAACTTCATACTGTCGCCGAGACGAAGCTCTCAGGTGGGACACCATCAACGAAGCCACCTGATCACCATAGAAATGGCGATACACCCTCGTCAAAAAGACCAGACGCGAAGAGCAGAGGAGAAGGTTGAACCAGCCCCGTACCAGATAGGACCGACCTGCTGAAAGAGGCGGAGCTGCGGGAAACGTCCCAGGTTCAGGCACCAAGCCAATAGCACCGGAAACCAAGGCTGGGCCAGCCACCAAGGGGCTACAAGGACTACTCTCCCTGGGAATGTTTCCAGCCGAACCAGAACCCGAAGCAACAGCTGGATCGGGGGGAAGAGGTACAGGTAACCCCACCTCGACCAGTCCTGCCGAAAGGCATCCACCGCAAACGCTTCACAGTCGGGAAAGGGCGGCACATATATTGGGAAACGCCGAGACCACGCTGACGCGAAGAGGTCCACATCTGGGAGACCGTACGTCTGGCAGATCCAACAAAACGAGTCATCGTCGACCATTCACTCCGTGGACAGGAAATGGAAGTGAGACAGACCGTCCGCCAGAACGTTGGACACTCCTCGGACATGAACCGCACGGAGAGCCAAACCCCGAGAATCCAGCAGACGAACCACTCGAAGGGACCAACCCCAAAGAGCCAAGGACCGAAGAGAACCCCCGCGGTTCAGGCAATGAACCACTGGAGAACAGTCCGAATGGAGGTGAATGGTCAATCCCCGAGCGACCCCAAACTGAGAGACCGCAGCCTCTGCAAACAGCAACGGACAAAACGGAGACAAAAACCTAAGAGCCAGGGCCCAAGCGGATTCCAATGAGGGGGCGAGCACTGCCTGACAGCATACGAGGCGAGAAGCAAAAAACAGAGACACCGCTTCCTTCAGGATGGGCGCAAAGAACTTCAACAGTGCAGCCGACGCCCTAGCTGCAGAAGTCAGTGCCCCAGGCAAAGGCCCTTCACTCAACGCTCCTACATCCTCCTCAAGCCAAGCAGAAGACAGCTCTAGAAGGGAAAAGAAACGCAGGACCAAAGCCAAATGCCCACGGGTGCGCGACTCCTCTGCAACCAACGAAGCCGAAAGTTGAGGAACCTGCACGTGAAGCTGGAAAAGGCCAACATCTCGAGAAAGCACGGGAGCGAACAAGCACGCATTAAGGTGCTCAAACTCGCCCCCCAGGTAAACCTGCATAAATGTAGAAGTTTCCCGCCAATCAAGCGTGTGGGTCCAACAGAACCCATGCCACGCCCCCAACGAAAAGAAAGGGCAGTCTTCCAGCCAGGAAGACTCCAGAACCTCCAAACACACCCAAAAATGGGAAGAAGAACCGAACTCAAACGAGGACGGATCCATTGCAGAGGCATTACCCGGGTCTCGCAAGAGGTATGCAGCAAGAGCTTCCCGAGCCACCTTCGCAAAGATACGGGAAGTAGAAAACCTCTGGAAAGATGGATCCGAGGTACCCAAAGGCGCCCGGAACCGAACCCGGGGAGGAGCCGAACCCAAATCATACTCATACAGGGAAGGGGAGGGATAAAAAAATCCCTCTCCCTGCAACAGTAAGCCCCACGAGGAAGGCAAAAGCACCCAAGCGGGGTCAAAGGGGGCCCAAGGGCCCCAGGTTGACTCCTCCCCAGCCCCAGTATTCCCCACGTTGGGACCCGGGGCAGAGCCGTCCTCCAAACCCTCTACCCCTTGAAGAAAAGGCAGAGTCCAGGGAAAAGACAGACGAGAAGGGGGTCTGCTGGTGGGACCCAGAAGCCTCGGCAGGAGGAACCGGCTCAAATGCCTCCGTCCCCGACCCGGATGGGGCAGCCCGCGAGGCAGCCCGAGTCTCATTACCAACTAAACCCTGTGCCGAGGCCGAAACCCTCAGATGTTTTGAAGTTGGACACAGGGGGGGGGGGGGGGGAAGGTGCAGGAAGAACCACAGGGAAAGGACCAGGGGGCACGGCAGGAGCCAAAGCCAGAGCGACTAACACCCCCCAGATCAGGGTCCCTAAAACCAAAATGGGGCAGCCTTGGGGCATCCGAGTGGGAAACCAACCTAGCGCGTTGCAATAACCTAAACCTATCATGCAACGCTGATGCTGCCTGTACCCTAACAGGAACATCCTCAGAGTAAAACTGGAGCACAAGCAGAGAACATGACTCGCAAGACTCCGGGTCAAAGGTGTCATTGACCCAATAGGCAGCATGACGGAGGCAAAACAGGTGACTGTCACCCTGAGACAAGGGCACACTGCAGCCTTCAAACCCGCATAAGGCAGGTTGGAACTCGAGAGACGCATCCATGGGTCCCCGAGCCCCAACAGGGGTTTCCAGGGCCCGTAGGTTAGCAACTATGGGAAGTCCGGGCAAGGTGTTGCTAACCAGTTAAGAAACCCAAACAAAACAAGGGGTAAATGATAATATTGAAAACCCCTGGGACGTGTACAAGCACGGGGGCCTAGCAGAGGGCCACCAAAACAATACCAGGTGAACTATAGACCCACGAGGCAGAACCTCCACCAGGCAAACAAAGACAAAACAAAAGAAAAACCCCGCAAAAGTACACCATCCCCAGAGCAACAGGAACCGGTCGCCGCTTAGGTGGCAGGCCGCGCAACATCTTGACGCCCTAACCAGCACAATACCACTCCTTAACCAAGGCCAAACAAGGGCCCCAAGCCCCAGCTGGCCCCAATGGCGAGGCAAATGCCAAGCAGCAAGAACTCCTACGGGAGCGGTTCCCGAACACCCCAGAGATGATAACCCTGACACGCAAGGGCAGTACTCACAGGGCGCCTAGGGAAGGAAGCCCCTAAGCGCATGCAGCCCCGGCACTGATGAAGTACTGGCCACCACACACCACACAAAAACAGCAGAGAACGCCACACGAGACAAACACCGCCCAGGAATTTGAGGCCAGAGAAGCGTCTATCCCGGTTGACACTAGCTTGCGAACTGAAGGCAGCCGGCGTGGTGAGGTCCGGAGGCCCCCCCTTCCCCTTCCAGGGAGGGGAGGATTGCGCGGACAACCGGCACGGCAGTAAATTGATTGTTTGATTGTTTCCTTGGGATTGTAGGGAGTTTTCTACCTTTCTGTTCGGTTTTTGTTGTAGTTTCTTACCATATAGGGTTTGTTTTGTTACGCCTACCTTTTTGGGTGCCTAACCCCAGTCGATGACAGATAAGGAAAACCCCCAACCATATGGGGTTTTCCAGGGCCATTGCTTCCTGAAACCTCTCTGAAGGGGCCAGGTTCTGGTACTGGTCCCTGGTAGGTCTAAACTTCATAGCTAATGTCCCGGTCTAACATAACATACATTAGCCCGATAAGCTCCAGGGAGCCGTAGGGGCTCCCCACAGAAAATTCCTAAGTATGGGCATTTGTAAGTTGAGGTTCCATTGTACAAGTACAGTGCTT